GTAAAAAAGTCAGAATTGTGTGTCATTTTGAGGGCTCTACCACACCATGAAGTTTTCCACGTATTTTATATCTGGAGGTGTTTATGGTAGAGTACTGGGACTTGGTACTGGGGTATGTAAAATAAATTCTAAATTCATGGAAGAAGATTAGGTTTATAAGAAAAAGGGGCGTGGCACTTCCAGTACAAATTTACTTTTTCTTGCCACATATCCCTGGAAGTGTTTGTGGAAGACAGAATAAATTTCATTAAATGGAAAAGGGAGAGCCGGGTTCCACCTTATAATCTAAAGCTCTCTTGAGGCATTTACTACAGTAATGAGAAGTGGTATTTTATCAAGGCCAGGTTACTAAATTTGAGTTGGAAATATTAGAACTCGCCGTGGCACCTCCAAGAAGGTTTCACGTTCACGCGTCGTATACCTGGAAACCTTTTAAGGTAAACTTAGAGTGAGGAGAGAGGAGATTTTATAATTTCATAGTTCTAAACGGCATAAATACCTTAACTCGCTTAGAAAATAACGAGCAATAACGAAATCGGCACAGAAATAAAATCTAACATCATTAAATTATTTTTCCTATTTGTATAAAAGCGCGGGGTGAAACCCGCGGGTATAAGCTAGTAATATATAATTTCTTCATGATCCGATGATCGGATTTAAACCATATTAATATGGGAACCTTTAAAAAAAAATTATAGAAATCTGATACCTAATAAAAAAAAAACATTCCCACGAATTGATAACCTTTCTCCTTTTTTTGAAGTTGGTTAAAAACTTTAAAAAACTACAAAAAAATGAAAAAAATGTTCACCCAAATTCCAAACTTTTTTCTCAGAAGTGCTAAAATTTTTTTTGTATACACAGTTTTATGCCCATTCAATTTTAGTCTTAATAATGTGCAAGTTTCAATTGGCTAAAAATTATCGTTGATTTTTTAGAATTTGTTTTTGTCGCATTCGCTTCAATATAACGAATAAACACAATTTATTTGTATATGGAAGAAACCCGCAACACCTTAGCGAAAGTAAACTTGCACATTATTAGACTAATGGCGCTTTCGTTTCTACAAAAAATGTTGCCTTCTCATTGCCCTCTTCTTTGTATTTCTGCGTAGAAGGCAAGGAGAGGGTAACCTTTCTTTGGTAGAAACGAAAACGCTATAAAATTGTGTACTGAAAAAAATTCTAGCACTTCTGAGAAAGAAGTTTGACATGAAACAAGTGTAACTTTTAAGCGGCTAACAAATCGCGTTGATTTTTAACGATTTTTAATTGCTGACTGCTTTTTGCACTTTTTACCATATAAAAGGGAATTTCTTACGTCCGTCGCTCTAGCTGACCCACTTCTACAAAAAATGATAAAAATTACTCAGGAATTAGATGTAATTTAGGGCCTCCAAAATTAATTTAAGTGCTCACTCGGTTTCCGAGAAAATTGCAAACTTTGCACCTAAATTGCACCTAATTCCTGAATAATAATTAACAGTGTTCGACGAAGTTTAGTGGGTGGGTCACGCAATTTTCTCGGAAACCGAGTGAGCACTTAAATTAATTTTGGAGGCCCTAAATTGCACCTAATTCCTGAGTAATTTTTATAATTTTTTGGAGAAGTGGGTCAGCTAGCGCGGCGGACGTGAATTTTTTGTATAATAAAATGCGCAAGACCGTTTGCAACCAAAATTAAAAAAAAATTAACGCTATATTTTATAAATTGCACTTGTTATATGCATAAAACCGCAAAGTCCGTCGGCATATTCTTAACTAATAATGTTGGCTTTTAAGTAAAAATTCAATTCTAAATTAATATATAATTAAAATATACACTGCCGGAACAAAGTATTGGCACAGGAAATTTTTCACAATATATGCAACAATTTTTATTCTAATATTTTTCCGCCAATTTTGTATAAAAATATGGTTCATTCAACAACAAAAAACACAAAAATATAATTCCTAAACTTTGTGCAAAACTCTCGAAAATTCAGCAAATTTTCATGAAATTTTTCAACGTTTTAATCAGAGTTTTTAGAATTATTTGAATTTGAGTATGCAGATTTATAGCCCAATCAATTTTATTATAATAAAGTGCAAGTTTTAAGTAGCTAGGAATTACCGTTGATTTTTGCCAATTTTTTTCACGCAGTCTCTTCTATAAAATTTTTTTTTTTCGAAAATACTTTATACGAAAAAAATGCAACACCTTCAATAAAAAAAAAATAATTTTAAAAACCAACGCGATTTTTGACTAACTCCGAACGTGCATTTTTTTTACTAGAATTTAATGGGCTGCAATACTGCATACTCAAAAAAATTATAAAAAATCGGATTAAAAAGTTGAAAATTTTGATGAAAATTTCCTGAGTTTTCGCGAGTTTTGCACAAAGTTTAGGAATTATATTTTTATGTTTTTTTGTTGAAGAATGAACCATATTTGTATAGAAAATTTGCGTAGAATATTAGAACACAAATTGTTGCATATATTTGGAAAAATTTTCTGTGCCAATACTTTGTTCCGGCAGTGTACATTAGGGTGTCCCGTCAAAAAAATTTTTTGAGCTACACTATCGCAAGAGGTATCGAAATTTGCGTAATTTTACACATGTTGAGAAAAAAGTAAAAAAGTCAGAATTGTGTGTCATTTTGAGGGCTCTACCACACCATGAAGTTTTCCACGTATTTTATATCTGGAGGTGTTTATGGTAGAGTACTGGGACTTGGTACTGGGGTATGTAAAATAAATTCTAAATTCATGGAAGAAGATTAGGTTTATAAGAAAAAGGGGCGTGG